ACCTCATTTTGATCGAAACGCTTAATTCATTTGGCTTCTAATAACATTATCAAAATCTTCAGCCAACACTATGCTGAATAGGGTTCTTGGAAATATTGATTGTATTCAGATTGTCACAATACAACGTCACAACATCTTATGAGACATTATACTCAGTGAGCATCTGTTTTGTCCAGATAATTTGAGAACAGCTACTACCAGCTGCAACTATTTCAGCACAGAGTTGAAAAGGCATTCTTTTGACATGAATCATAGCTCTGGCAGATTCCTGTATGATCCTATTTTTCCTTCTGTCAACTCCATTTTGATGAGGAGTTATAGGAGAAGAGAATTCATGACTCATTCCTTCTGAGAAACAGAATTTATTAAACTTGTTGTTTCCAAATTCCTTGTCATGATCACTTCTGATTCTGACAATACATCCTTCTTTTTGGGTTCTTTTGCACAGTTCTCTAAAAACTTCAAGGTTATTCACCACATTATAGACATATCTCTTTTTACCAAGCCTTTCCATTTGATGTTCACCACAAACCCTCCTTTTATCAATCTGCAGTCTTGGAATCCTTCTGACTGCTTCCATAGAGATAGTTCTTTTCATTCTTCTTAGATGAAGATGGCCAAGTTTTTGGTGCCACAGTTTCACCTCTTTTTCTTCTTTGGTAATAGAACACATAGTGGAGTTATTAGTGTTCTCAGGATGCCACAAGTAACAGTTATCTTTAGATCTGATTCCTTTCATTACAACTTCTAGTTTTTCATTAATTACAAGACATTCAGATTTTGAGAAGTTGACCTTGAATCCTAGATCACACAATTGACTGATACTAATGAGATTAGCAGTCAGGCCTTTTACCAATAGTACTTCATTCAGATTTGGAACTTCAGGGCAGTCCAAATTACCAACTCCTTTGATTTCACCTTTAGCACCATCTCCAAAGGTCACATAACTAGTGGTGTGAGGTTTAACATGATTGAGAATGTTCTTTATTCCAGTCATGTGCTTAGAGCACCCACTGTCAAAGTACCAGCCTTCCTTTGCAGAGACTCTCAGGGAAGTGTGGGCTATCAGGGCAGTAGCCTTTTTCTTCCATTGAGGAGTATGTGGTACCCTTTTTGACTTAGGTTTAACACCTGGGCTCTGATTAGGGTATCCATACAATCTGAAGCAGAAAGGCTTAATGTGACCATACCTCCCACAATGATGACATCTCCATCTTTGGTAATTTTTCTTCATATATCTCTGTTCCTGATGTTGAGAGTTGTGTTGAGACATCTGCTTTGACATTTGTTTAACAGGCCTGATCTTCTTGTCTGCACTAGATTTCTTTGCTTCCACAAATCCTAGTCCATATTTGTTTCCCACATTTTGTCCAACCTGAAGGATTTCTTCCAATTTGTCTGTTCCATTTGTCAGCATCTTGACAGATTTGGTCATTTGGTTCAGTTGTGAGTTTAGCAATTGAACTTCCCCTTCTAGATGACTTATAGTTTCAAGGTCTGCCCTTTTTTCAGCCTCCAGCTTTATGATGAGTTTTGTTTGTTTCTCATTCTGCACAGACTTCAGCACTTCTGATACACAATTTCTTGTAAGTATCAGCCAGTTCTTCAAATGTCACTTCTTCATCACTAGTGTCACTTTCAGAGGTACAAACACCAGTTAGAGCAGTAACTAGTTTGGCAGATTCTTCTTCAGAATTACTTTCTGAATCACATTCAGACCAAGTAACATACATTCCTTTCTTTTGTTTCTTAAGAAAGGTAGGACATTCAACTCGAATATGCCCATATCCTTCACAACCATGGCATTGACTTCCTCTGCCTTGATTTCCCTTCTCTTCTGACCTTGGTCTTCTGCTGGAACTGTCAATGTCAGAGGGAATGTTATGAACATTAGACCTTGACTTTGGATCTATTCTTTTGATGAGTTTGTTGAATTGTCTTCCAAGCATGGCTATAGCTTCTGAAATATTTTCTTCTTCATCCTCCCTGTCTTCATATTCAGTGTTGGATACAAGTGTTATGCTCTTGTTCTTCTTGTCAACATTTTCAGTGATCCCCATCTCAAAAGTCTGAAGAGACCCAATGAGTTCATCCACTTTCAACTTGCTGATATCCTGGGCTTCCTCTATAGCAGTTACCTTCATTGCAAATCTTTTAGGCAAGGATCTGAGAATCTTTCTCACCAGTTTTTCTTCTGACATCTTTTCTCCCAATGCTCCTGAGGTGTTGGCAATCTCCAAGATGTTCATGTGAAACTCATGAATGGTTTCATCTTCCATCATTTTTAGATTCTCAAACTTGGTAGTCAGCATCTTAAGCCTTGACATTTTTACTTTGGAAGTGCCCTCATGGGTAGTTTTGAGAGTGTCCCAAACTTCCTTGGCCAGTTCATATTGATGTACTAGTCTGAATATGTTTCTATCAATTCCATTGAACAAGGCATTTAAAGCTTTGGAATTACCCAGGGCTAACTCATCTTCTTCTTTACTCCATTCTTCCTCAGGCTTCAGACTGATTGTCCCATCTTTCTCAGTTATGGTGGGATGGTTCCATCCTTTGTCAGCTGCTCTCCAAGCCTTTTTGTCCAGAGATTTTAAGAAGGCAATCATACGAGGTTTCCGGTAGTCATAATTTGTTCCATCCAGAATGGGTGGTCTATTTCCAAAAACTCCTTCTTTGTCCATAGTGTCAGAAAGTGATATCCCTATATCTCACCCAGTAATACAGGCAGGGTGCCTGCTCTGATACCAATTGAAATTCTGGCTGCAGATACTCAATGTCACGTTCAATGTTATGACACTGTATCTGACTTTCTATAAGACAGTAAATACAAAAACAGTAAAGAACACAGTCAATTGTTTACCCAGTTCAGTGTGCAACAACACCTACTCTGGGGGCTACCAAGCCAGGGAGGAAATCCACTATAAGAGATATTAATTCAGGAATAAACCAACCAGTTTATCTCCTTCACTTAAGACCTACCCAATGCAACTTCAATCTAAGTACAACTTAAACCTGAGTTCCTACTCACTCCCCCTCAATCACAGCAGTGATACTTAAAACAATTGACTAATGATTTAATGAAGACACTCTTCAAAATATACACTTGATTATGCTTCACAGCTTTTTAATCAAGCAACACAAACACTCTTGCTTCACAGCTTTGAGTGATACATAAACCTAACTTGACTTTGCTTCAAAGCTTTAGTCAAGAGACACAAAACACTCTTGCTTCAAAGCTTTGAGTGATACAAAACCCTTACAATTAAAACCTATTCCAAGTCACTTATCACAATGATACTTGCTTGGATTACAATAGTTAAAACTATACAGCTTCTAAATGATCTTCTGTCCAAAGGGATAAATTCCAAACAGCAGCCCTGTTGAATATATAGCAGCTGCTTCTTCAGTTAGGGTTTCCACAAAAAGTTAGGGTCAATTCCGTTTGACCTTAAGACTTGGTCACAAGACTTTATCAACCAGTTTAGGGTTGAGCTAGGTTAACCCCAAGTCCACGAGATTTTCTGTTCTGGAAAGACTGAGTCATTTTCCTGAAAAATCTCAGAATTAACCAAACTGCATAACTGTTAGTTCAGAACAGGATGTCTTAACATTTGTTATGACATCTGAATTCCTGTTTACTGATTTTGGTAAATGTGATCATTTTGCAAAATGCTCAGATACACACTCATAAACATCAGTACCTGTATGCCACTATTTTTCTGCAAAGGTACCTAATAAACCAGTACCTAATAAATCAGAATGTTATGACATTAGTCATGACATTCACACATCTGGTTTTACCAAAAATGCATGCCAATAACTAAACAACTACAACTCTGATCATTTCCCCATCTTTATTCTTATGACCATTATCTTCCCTCCCAACTGCATATGCGTAAGTGACAAGAGGCTTTCGAAAATATTATGTTGTTTGCTCTCTCCTCTTTCTGCTTCTTTCTTTTTTGTTACTGCCGTTGTTTTTTTCATTCCACCCTTCACGTCTTCTTTATTGATTTATGTCCCTTCTTTCCACCTTTTGTCCTTCTTCCCGATCGAACTTTGATATATTTGTCCATACTTTATATGTGCCAAACCAAATACTTCGTAGTTGTTCCTCTAATCTCTGAGCTTCCAACACTCCAGCAAACCTTGTGAATCTAAAAACCTTTCCTTTTTATTTTTCTTTCTAGGTATGTATACGTCCACCTGCTTCCTTATTTTTGAAAATTTTGATTTCACCTCTCCTATTTTGATGTCTTCTAATATATTTATGAAGTAGTATGTCTTGGTGTCTTCGCGTCCTTGACTTTTCTTTTTCCTATAGGTAACCTGAGTCCATTCCTCTAGATCTTTGTCGCTAACTCTCCCTAATTTTGCCTCCACGGTTTGAACGACAGTACATATTCATTAATCTTTAGACCACCTCCAACGGTGGTTTTTCAGATTGGTTTGTCAGCTTGTCATTGAAATTGTCAACAAAAAAGTTATTCCAGCTGGTGAACGGTACAAATATAAGCAACGATTTTTTATATTTTTTTATTATTAAAATAATCAATTAAAATTGTAGAATCCAATATAAAATTTAGTATGAATAAAATATTAATATTAATGAGTCTCACAAAGAACTCAAATATGAGTAACACCGTTGAAGATGCTCTTACAACATATGTGAGACTAGCAAAGTGCATTAAATGTATAAAAAAGAATGAAATTTCATTTCCCACTTTTTCAATCTAACCAAATCAAATATCAAACATAATTAGTGGGTTCATTATACTACATAGTGCTAATGCTAAAATTATTCTTAATCTTTCGGGAGCTCACATACAAGACAAACTACAATAATTCTATAAATCATTCCATACCAGAAACAAGGAACCCCACCGCAACACTCTCATCCTTACCCTATCCTTCACTCATTTCAAAGAGTGAAGAAATCTTATCTCTATAGAAACTATTGAAGAAACATAACATCAACAAAAACTACGAAGAAAAAAATGCAGAAACAATTCAATCACATTATTCACACCCTCTTTATCCTACTCTCCATAATCACAGTAAGAGTTCTTTCCATTTCATCACTGTTTTGTCTAATAAATTGAACTTTTTTTATACCGCATCAAATTAATTTATCAATGTATACGCACGAATATCTTAATAGATCTTCCATAAATAGTAGTACATTCTGTATTAATTTTACACTAATCTTGATGTTTCTCTTATTATTATTTGAAATCTGAATTTAGTATCTAATTGTTTGTGTCCCTAAACATGAACACAGGTTGGTTTTGCAATAAACCATGAAGAAGAGAAAAACCAAAACCCATTCACTCCAAAAGCATTCGTAATTCGCTATTGGGACAGAGTGATAAAAAACAAGTTACCAAAACCATCCTTCATCCTCTCCAAAACATCCCCACTCACCGCCACCGAAGCCGCTGCATTCGCCAAACACGCGGCCGCCAACACTCTATCCACAAAGCTACCAGAATTCTGCTCCGCCGCACATCTCTTCTGCCTCCCAGACATAAACCCCAGCCTCAAGAAACAATACCCATTCGACCCCACCCATTTCGCCGTCTACAACGTCGACCAGAATTTCACCACCTACACCTTCGGCGAGAATTTCACCACCTACGGAACACATAAAACCGACGGAATCGACGCGTTCAAAAACTACTCCATCGGTCTATTCAGCGCCGAGCACAATGAGTTCAAAAGATACAGCAAAAGCTCCGCCAATCACAACGACAGTTTCAAAACCTATGCTATCAACACCAACGCCGCGGTGGAAGACTTCAACAACTACGGAACCAGTTCCGTCGCTGGATCTGGCGAATTCAAAACCTACAACACTCCAGACAGCAACGTACCTAACCTAAAATTCAACATTTACACCGCCGACACCGTCGGAAGAGAACAAACATTCAAAACCTACAGCGACTCCAGCAACGCCGGTAACCAGAGTTTCACTAACTACGGCAAAAACTCCCTCCACGCCGTTAACGATTTCACCTCCTACGCAACCGACTCTAACGTCTTCAAATCCGAATTCTCTGCTTATTCTGAAAAAGGAACAAGCAATGAAGATTCCTTCACCAGCTACGGTAAGCGCTTGAACAACCCTGACAATAATTTCAAGAATTACGGTAAGGGAAGTACAAGCGGTACCGAGAAATTCACAAATTACAGAGACCAAGCTAATGCTGGTGGCGATTCGTTCACTTCGTACGGTGAGAGTTCACGCGGTGGGATCCACGTTGGTTTCAATAGCTACGGACGAAGACCAGGTTTCCCGAAATTCCCAGGATTTGATAGTTTTACAGGCTACGCTAAAGGAGCAGATTTAGATCATAAGGTTACTTTCATAACTTACGGTGTTAATAACACTTTCAAAGATTACGATAAAAAAGGTATTTCCTTTGCTAAATACAATAACACTAACTCTGCTTCGGTTAGTGGTAGTTTGGTTAAGAACTTAGTTCAACCGGGTAAGTTTTTCCGAGAAATGATGTTGAAGGAAGGGACTATTATGCCTATGCCGGATATAAGAGATAAATTACCAGCAAGGTCGTTTTTGCCTCGTTCCATTTTACCCAAGTTGAATGAAATGAAGCAAGTTTTTCAGGTGTCTGAGAATTCGCCAATGAAGAAGATAATAGTTGATGCACTCAATGAGTGTGAGAGGGCGCCCAGTATGGGCGAGACGAAGCGTTGTGTCGGTTCACTTGAGGATATGATCGACTTTGCAACTTCGGTTTTGGGCCGTGATGTTACTGTTCGATCGACTGAGAATGTGAATGGGTGGGGTAAAAATGTTATGGTTGGTAAGGTTAAAGGGATAAATGGTGGGAAAGTAACTGAATCGGTGTCGTGTCACCAAAGTTTGTTTCCTTCTTTGTTGTACTACTGTCATTCGGTTCCAAAGGTTCGAGTTTATGAAGCGGATCTTTTGGACTCGGACTCTGAGGTTAAGATTAATCATGGTGTTGCTATTTGTCATTTGGATACAACTGCTTGGAGCCCTAGCCATGGTGCATTCATGGCTCTTGGATCTGGTCCGGGTAGGATTGAAGTTTGTCACTGGATCTTTGAAAATGATATGACTTGGACTACTGCTGACTCAAGTAGTAACAATCTTTACCATTAAGTTGTTATGTTTTCAATTCCATCTTGTTTTTCTACTTCTACGAGTGAATGGCTTTTCTTTTGGAGAGATGTATTTTCAATTATCAATCTCCTTTGTGCATGTTTGTATTAATCATGAGTCAGAAATAATCATTGTGTGTAACGAAGCTTAAATAAAAGTAAGATGGTAGTTATTTAATAAAGTTGATATATGCAAGCAAGAAGAAGAAGTGCAGAGGGTAATGAAACAATTTCAATCAAACATTTTTCTCTTGCAACCGATTTCTTTAAGCTATACCTTTCATTTGAAATGATGTCAATGGAGTTATTTCTTTTAGTTGTATACGTCACATTGTTAATATAATGTTTATATTCTAAAACGAGGATACAATAAACTGAGTTTAAGCGTATTTTTTCTAAAATTGTATCTTGTTCTAGACTGACCCGACAGTTAGAGTGAACCTAGTCTAGATTCTCTCTTTGGTGCAACTTATACGACCATGATCAGAATCTTTTTCGTTCTGTCGGGCGTTATCGATCGTTTGTTCTCTTGGACCGGCACCGACCCACGGTGACCAACGAGCATCTCTTAGTCTGTCCAACATCAAGTCGCCCAGACAACCAAGAACTGGCCAGACCGGTGCCAGTAATCTACCTCCTCTTCAGAACCAACGGCTAGTTACGGGCAAACCTGTTCGGTATGACCAAGTTCTGGCAGTTACCTATTTTCACGGGTCAGCACATCTAGGCTCAAAAATAGAAATCAATGGCCACGCACTAGAGGCATTATATATACCTTGACACATGTGAGTGTCAGGTATCGAATATTCACTATTCACCACCAATACCCTAATACTTTACTTGTATCTCTTTGCTTCCATACTTACTTAGTCATCAGAGTACCTTGCAGGTACGATCCCCTTTTTCCTCCTAGACATCATAGCCCGACCGAAGATCATCATTTGGCCACCTTGCAGGTTCTGATCAACCGGTAAGATCAGTGGCGCTGTCTGGGAACTTGCTATTCCCATCTTTCTTTTCCCGAAACTCAAAGATCAAAGCAGATATTCAAGATTCTATTCACCGATCATGGCCGACCATGATGATCTCCTCCTGCATGGAAAGATTCCACTTTCTCCGGTGCATAAGAGTGACGAAGGTCAGGGACATCCTCACCTCGAGGATAACTTCGACCTTTGCGACGGTCGAACTGCATCTCCAGACTCCATCGGCGCCCAGCGCGACGAACAACATTTCTTGGACGGATAGTGTGACACTAATTAGAATTTTAATTATTAATTTAATTGGAAATTTAATTATTGGTATTTTTGGATTATTGGAATTAATTTAATTAATTAAAGGAAAGAAGTTTTGGTGGTGTGAAGAGTGATTAGAGGGTGTGAGGGGTAAAATACTCTACTCTTACTAATTACTAATTTAATTATTTTATTGGAATAATAAAAGGAGTATTAAAAGGAAAAAAGAAGAGAAAGAGAGTTATTTTGGAATATTCATCATACGTGCATTTGAGAAGAGGAAAAAGAAGGAGAAAACCGGAAGCGTCAGAATTCGAAGAACCCACAAGGTAAGGGGTGATTTCGATTAGTTAATTCGTATTATCGGTTTAGATATTCAATAGTATGGATCATAGTATGTTAGGGAATCCCGGATTGGAATTCTAGGGTTCCGTAGAATTGTCCCTATTGCGTCGAATTGTAGGTTGAAAACCATTAGGGTGTCAGATGATAAAAAGGAATGATGAAATAATGTTGTTTGATGTTATAATGGTGCAAAATGGATGTATTTTGGTGTTTCTCATGTTGCAATCCGTATGGGTATGTTTGGAATTGGTTTAGAATGAATAAATGCTGTCAAAAGTGCAGAATTTGACTCTGCGGGTCGTGGGAACCGGTTCCCAGTGGGGAGGAACCGGGTTCCACTGTGTGAATTTATAAAAACTGGCAAAAATGCACGTAGGAACCGGTTCCTGTATAGGTAGGAACCGGGTTCCCATACATTTTTTCAGAAGCGTGATTTTTGAACTTCGCAGGAACTGGTTCCTGCATATGTAGGAACCGGGTTCTGCTGTAACTTTTGAAAAATATTAAACTTTGAAAATTCATAACTTTCAAACCGTAAGTCCGTTTTGAGTGCCGTTTTGGACGTTATTTTTTAAATTTAATGCTCTATTTTATAAAATGAAAAGATTTCCTAAAACCTGAAATTATTTTGAAAATGAGTTAAATCTCGGAATAAGTGATTATTGGCTAACGCACATGGGTGTGTATGTAGCAGTGAACCTGTGATGGATGGATGTATTAGTATTATGTGAATGAAAGGCATGTTTATGTTGTTAATGATGGTGTGCATGATCGTTGAGATATCATGTTTTTGGTTTTGGTTCAGTTATGATAAATTGATGTATTTCATAGACTGATTTGATGTTGCATGCTAGTGATGTGCGTGCATATGCATTGTTTTGGTGAAGTTAATTCCCATTGTGTGGAATTTGACTTGTATTTCCATTAACCGATACCCGGGTGATGATGGGTGGTTAGGCTGGATTCGTGTCTGGGTGTTTATGGACGAATCGATGGTTGCTGTATCTGGTTGATGATGGATCAGTGTTGGGTGACTTGGTCACGTGTTGGTACCACATACATTGTGTCTGCATTTGTGTTTGCATGGAATTGTAATATGTTAGGATGTCTTCCAGTGTTACAATTCTTTGGTTGATTATTGATTTGTGCATAATGACTTGTATGATTGGAACTGCGTGTTGAATCTGAATTTATGTTAAAATGGGTGAAATAATATGCTTGTGATATAATGTTGATTGAGAAGCTTATAATGCATATTAATTATGAGAAATCTCACCCTTACTTTAACAATTTCAGATTAAAGTTAGCAGCTCAAGAGTTTGTGAGGATGGCTCTAGAGCTATGTTACTTTAAGTCTGCGTGTCAGTGTCGTGCTCTGATAGGTTGTAACACTGGGGAACGTTTAGTTGAGGAATTAGTTATTATTCAATTGTTTCTTTGAATTTCATTGGGAATAATTATGTTTTGGTTTATTCCATTTTGGTTATGGTATTTTTCCGCTGTGTAAGACATGGTCTTAATTTGATTGAATTATTTGAATAATGACCCTCAGTGTAGCATGACTACTGTTTTATTGGAAGTTTTATTTATTTCATAATTGTGACATCCCTTGTTCTGTGTTAACTCTGATGGAATATGTCTTTAATCATTTATATAATTAATATTATTCGGGGTATTTTAGAAGGGGTGTTACAATAGTGGTATCAGAGCATAGTCGGTCTTGTCTTGTGTCGTTATCCATTTTATATGCGACTAGTGTAAGATGATACTATCGATACTTGTGTGTTGATGAGGTTGTTTTGTAATGTTACATAACAATGGCCGGAAGAGGTAACTGAAGAAACGACGATGCTATTGCTGAAGCATTGGGAATGTTGGCTGGAGTACTCGGAGGGAACCAGCAGGGAGCTGTGATTGGTGCTGACCGACAATTGGGGAATTTTCAGAGGAATAATCCTCCGTTGTTCAAGGGTGCACATGATCCCGAAGGTGCTCATAAGTGGTTGAAGGAGATCGAGAGGATCTTCAGAGTAATTGACTGTGCTGAAGGGCTGAAGGTGAGATACGGAACTCACATGTTAGCAGAGGAAGCTGATGACTGGTGGGTTGCTACCAGAACTGAAATGGAAGAAGATGGTATTGCGTTGACTTGGGCTGTGTTCAGGAGGGCTTTTCTGAGGAGGTACTTTCCTGAGGACATCAGAGGCAAGAAGGAGATTGAGTTTCTGGAACTCAAGCAGGGTAACAAGACTGTCAGTGAGTATGCTTCGAAGTTTACTGAGTTAGCGAAGTATTATGCTCATTATACTAACGATGCAGATGGAGAATTTTCCAAATGTATCAAGTTTGAGAATGGTCTTCGTGATGAGATTAAGCAGGGTATTCGGTATCAGCGTATCCGAAGATTTCCTGATCTGGTTGACTGTAGTAGGATTTTAGAGGAGGATCTTGCTAGTACTAAGTCGAATGCTCGAGGGTATGTTGATAGGAAGGGTAAGCAACAGATGGATCGTGGTAAGCCTTATGATAGAAGTAATCAGAGACCCGGTGGTTGGAAGAAGTTTGGTGGAGGAGATTCTAGTTCTTCCATTAAGTGCTACAAGTGTGGTGAGACAGGACATCGTATGGTGGATTGCAAAAGTAATGATAAGAAGTGTTTCAAGTGTGGGAAACTCGACCATGTGGCCAATGATTGCAGAGTAAGAGTGGTGACTTGTTACAACTGTGGTGAAGAAGGTTATACTCGTCCTCAGTGTACAAAACCCAAGAAGGAGCAAGCTGGTGGTAAAGTGTTTGCATTGTCTGGGTCAGAGACTAAGCCAGATGATCGGCTGATTAAAGGTACATATTTTATTAATGATATACCTTTGATTGTGATTATTGATACTGGAGCTACGCATTCTTTTATTGCTTTGGATTGTGCTAAAAGATTGAATTTGGAAATTTCTAATATGGATGGAAGTATGGTTATTGATACTCCTGCGTCGGGTTCAGTGACTACTTCGTATGTTTGTAGGAATTGTCCTATTGTGATTTTTGGTAGGGGTTTCAGTATGGATTTAGTGTGCCTACCGTTAGAACAACTTGATATCATCCTTGAAATGAACTGGTTAGAATTCAACCAGGTTCATATCAATTGTTTTGCGAAGACGGTTATTTTTCCTGAAGAGGTTGGTGTCGAAGATGTGACTATGTCGGTTAAACAGATGAACCTAGCCGTGAAAGATGGTGTTGTGGTATTTATGTTGTATTCTGCAATAGAAGCGGAGGGAAAAGCAAAGAGTGATGGATTGCCAGTGGTGAATGAATTTCCAGAGGTGTTTCCGGAAGACGTTAGTGAATTGCCACCTGAGAGGGAGGTAGAATTTACTATAGATTTGATTCCTGGAACTAGTCGGGTGTCGATGGCGCCTTACCGTAT